CGCAGAGTGAGGTGTGGGGAGTTTCAAGCATGACATTTGGAACAGCGCGCCACTTTCGCGCAAAGCACGCACGCTCCGGCCTGGGTGGCGCACAGCGCACTCAAGTTCTATCTATGAAAAAAGTAAAGGTCTTATAAGTCTTATAGTATAACCCTAAGGCAACTTCCGCCCCGCCTCGTGCGGGTACTACTGGTATTTATTCTGAGATTCTATCTGGCATTCTATCTGACATCTAGCGCTGGCTGTTGAAGTCCGGCAATGCCCAATGAGATCTGAAGCTCGCGGTTGAGGTCCGGCAGTGCCCACTGAGATCGAGCTCGCGGTTAGGGCGGTGCCCACTAAGATCTGGCACCCGCAGTTGAGGCCCGGCAGTGTTTAGTGAGAGCCACCCGCGATTGAGGTCCGGCAGTGCCCGCTGCGATCTGGCGCTCGTGGTTGACGTCCGGCAGTGCCCAATGACCCTCTGGAACTCACGGTTGAGGTTCGGGAGTGCACAGACCTCTGGAGCTCGCTGCTGTTGAGGCCCGGCCGGAACCCGCAGTTGCGGGGAAGAAGGAGGAGGAAGAAACTTTGATAAAGTCTGGAGGCCATCCTGTGGCCGGTAGGGTATCACAAAAAAAAGATTCGGAGTAAACATTCGCAAAACAGAAGAAAAATCCGAACAAATGCGAAAAAGACAAAAAAAACGCGATCTTTTTGAATTTAACACCAATGATTGCCGAGTTTTGGTTGCTGTTTGCTTTTTTCTTCGTTTTTTTGCATTCGTTTTTTCAATCGTTGTTTTGGTGGTAAATTTTTGAAATTGGCTAAATCGCTCTTCTGTGTTGTTTTTAAAAATGCGCTTTCCGGCATTAACTTGGTCGGGGCAGCAGACCCTAGTGGCAGAATGCTTGGACGGAACGTCCATGTGATGAGGGTGCAGCAGCTCGGGATACTAAGCCAAAATGGATCAGATTAAAGAAAATGTGAAAACCAAACCCTAAATTTCAAGATAGAAGAAGACAAAACGGACCGTGATGGAAAGACCAGGGGATGTTTAAAGTGGGAATGTTATGTGGCCTGAGGTTGTGCAGCCCTGACCGCAGCTAGATCGACCGAATTTTCGGCAGATTGATCTGGGAATGCATCCAATTTGGGACTCAACTCTCTGTAGTGCATTCCGATTCGTTCTGACTCTATACAAGACCTTTCTCAAACTTTCTCATGGAGGAAACTTTCTCATGGAGCCCTGTCTATGCAGTACGCGAGGGTTGAGAGATGCCTTCCGGACGCATTGGGTCCAATGGCTTCGCCACGGACCTTGCCCCTCCAAGGCTCATCTACGATTGCTTCTGGGGGATGTCGCCGCCTTGATGTGCTTGTACCTAAGTTGAGCTTACAAAAAGACTCTTCCAGTTCAGCCGCTTTCAGAAACGGTTTCAACTGAGTTAAGACGCGGTGCGGGGAATTGTCAAAGATGTCCTGCACGCTTTGCGACGCCATCGGACTTACCACTCCTGGGGTGGAGGTCCCCAGCAACAGTGCCTTGAAGACTTCTTCGAAAAGCACCTTTCGGAGGCCAAGATTGCTGAGATCGCTACACGATTTGCTGTCCCCACACAGGAAACACACACCAAAAGGCTGATAAAGGTTGTATATGATTACCGTATGATGCTTTATGTCTGCCATGTCTTGTCGATGCGCTACCTTCACTACCCAGTAATTCCAACTGGAGTAACTGTCAAGTTCCTCTTCCTGGCGTTTGTTTCTTGCCTTTCAAGGAGCTCTTTTGAACCTCTTGCCGTTTGCGAATGCTTTCAAACTGCTGTTTCTGGATCGAACTTGTGCCACGTCTGTCTGATATGGCTCCCTGTACCTGTTTACTTGGAGAACCTCCTGCAAATTCGTAGAAGTTTATCTGCAAATTAAATTGATGTTTCTTGGCATCCACGTCAAGTGCCGCAACGTTGAATCTATTGAATGTATGGAAGGCACCTCCAGCTTGGTCTCCAAGCGCCAAATATCCAAAGCCTTTGCGCTACCCCTCAATCGCGCAGCCCCCTCCACAAACTCCATGAGCCTTGAATACTGGATTGCACCCGACCAAGCAAACAGTTTGCCAAGGCACATCGTGAGCGCAGATTGTGGAGTTGCCTTTCTGTTGTTAAAATTTTAATGTGCTGTCGAGAAGAGACATATCAATACCACTAAAAAGTAACAAAAGGTACCAAAATGAAACACTTTGAAACAATTGTTCGCACTATCAACAGAACAACATCCCCGCAATCCACGCGCAGTTCTAAAATTTGGGCCCATCCACAAGGTTCATGGATGTTGCTGGCGACGTACCACAAACCGACCTTTTTGCGCAAATTCAAACTGTATTGAATATTTCGGATGGCCGTTGGCCCAAAAGCATGAAACGATTGGAATTTCAAGCAGTGTGGTTCGCCAACACATTTTCAGGTTTCACAAGTTCAAAAAATCCAAATCCGAATTTCATGGTCCGAACGTTGCAGAGTACCAAGGTTCAACGATGCTGTCCAAGAATTCCAAATTGCCAAAGTCCAGGATTTTCGGGTTCATCGTTGCATGGGCACATCTTTGGAAAATTCGTTAGGCTCCAGCAGGGCTTTGGGGCAGGCTGCTTCACATTGGAACGCTGCAGGCAAGTTGTTTGCCAGCCTCCTTTACACAACAACCCTATCGCGATCTCGCAGGTTGGAACACTATAGCAAGATCGCCAACACTGTGGGGCTGGGCCCGGGCAATATGGCGAGGAAACCAGCACCGGGCCGGAAGCAGATGGAATGCTCGCCAGAAAAAAGTCGGAAAAATGTCAGATTGGATTTCACAGCAGGTAGAGTACCACATGGCATGCCGATAATGTCAGAATATATGTCAAATAGAATGCTACCTGACATGCCCGATAATACCAAAATAGATGTCAGAAAGGATGTAAGAACCTATGTCAGATAGGATGTCAGAGACAATGTCAAAATATATACCAGATAATATTTCAGAAAACATGCTAAATATATTGCCAGAATATATATGTGAAAGAGCATGCCAGGTAGAGTGTCAGAATAAATGTGAGATTACATGTCAAACAGTATGTCAGAATAAATATCAGATAGGTTTCCAAAAAGAATGCGAAGGAAGCTGTCAATAGTTACATTGCATTGCATTGCGTTACATTACATTACAATGCATTACATTCCAGTCCAGTACATTACACTACGATACATTACGTTACATTACATTGCATACACACATGCACTTGTCCATGCATGCATTACATTACATTACATTACATTACATTACACTACATTACATTACATTACATTACGTCGCATTACATTACATTACATGACATTACATGACATTACATTACATGGCATTACGTTACATTACATTCGGTTCCGTTACATTACATTGCGTTACGTTACATTAAATAAAAACATATGTACATTAATACATGCATGACATTACATTACGTTACGTTACATTACATTACACTACATTACATTACATTGCAGTACAGTACAGTACATTACAGTACAGTACATTACATTGCATTGCATACATACATACATACATACATACATACATACATACATACATACATACATTACATACATTACATACATTACATACATTACATACATTACATACATACATACATACATTACATACATTACATACATAACATACATACATACATACATACATACATACATACAGACATCCATCCATACATGCATACATATATACATACATACATACATAGATTAATTACATTACATTAATTACATTACATTACATTAATTACATTACATTACATTACATTAAATTACACACATACACACACACAGACAGACAGACAGACATTACATTACATTACATTACATTACATTACATTACATTACATTACATTACATTACATTACATTACATTACATTACATTACATTACATTACATTACATTACATTACATTACATTACATTACATTACATTACATTACATTAATTACATTACATTACATTACATTTGACAGACATTACATTACATTACATTACATTACATTACATTACATACACACACAGACAGACAGACATACATACGTACGTACGTACATACATACATACATACACACAGACAGACATACAGACATACAGACATACATACATACAGACATACAGACATACAGACTCAGACATACAGGCACACAAACAAACAAGCAAACGAGCAAACAAGCAGACAAGCAGACAAGCGAACAAGCAAACAAGCAAACTGTTAGATATGACTGTCACTCTGCACTCCACCGCACAGTACACTGAATCTACTGCACTGCCAAACTATGGTTTGGCTCAAGCCTGGTTCAAGGCACTAGGAACTCAACTGACGCTGTGAGACGTTGTACTGCTTCTGATAGACTGGCGTGAGTGAAAACTAGAAGCTGACTGATACTGCACTGTTTGGTGGACTTGAAAGTGAACTTGACGCTTCGCATGGTAGCGGAGCTACCTGGCTCCTACCGTGCTTGAAGACTTCGGCGGTGGAAGAGTAGAACTGTACCACACTGCTGGCGGTGGAAGAGTAGAACTGTACCACACTGCAACTCACAGTAGGAAATGGCGACCTTTGGAGACAGTCGAACTCTAGGTGGAAACTCACGACTCCCACTACCTGAAAGTTTCGATGGAACTATGGAGAAATGGGAAGACTGGTCATGGCATGTGAGAAGCTACGTTTCTATGTTCAAAGAACATGTACTGACAGTCATGGATGCTGCTGAGGAAGCCACTTCGGTCATCACTGATGACGCTGTACAGGCTATAGAAGACAATGCAGTTGAACTCACTGGCCTCGTAGCTTTTAGTAGACAGCTGCACTACTTGCTCAGCCTGATCACTAAGAATAGTGCCAGACTGGTACTTTGAGGTAACTTGGGACTGAACGGGTTTGAGACTTGGCGCTTACTGTCACGTAGATTTGCGCTTCCAAGTACTGCAAACAACATTAGTCTCTTGACCAAGGTGCTTGAGTTTCGATTCAGGACTGAACACCTTGAACAGGACTATACTGAATGGGAACAACTGAAGAACAGGTACGAACGTCAAACTGGAACTGCCCTGCCGGACAGCTTACTGGTAGCAACACAACACTGTTGAACAAGACGTCGGGATCACTGCAACAACACCTCAGACTGAACGTGAGGACACTGGATACGTATGACACTGTTAGGAATGTGATACTGGACTACTACCAATCGCGTCATGTTGTGAAAAGCGACACTCAAACACCAATGGACATAGGTGCCATGTGGAAGAAAGGTAAAGGAAAGGGAAGAGTAGGACTGTACCCCCTGAAAGGAAAAGGAAAAGGCAAAGGAAGAGTAGGACTGCACCCCTTTGGCCATAAAGGAAAGGGAAGAGTAGGACTGTACCCCCTGAAAGGAAAATGAAAAATGAAAGGAAAAGGGAAGACTGGAATGAACTACAAAGGCAAAGGTGACAAAGGTAAAGGAGATAGACAAAAATGCTGGAACTGTGGTAACTTCGAGCACTTCAGTAAAGACTGTAAGATGATGGTGAACGCAGTTGACTATGTGACTGACGATACTCAGGAAGAATGGACTGAAGAAGAGTGGAATGACTGGTTATGTTCAGTAACTGAAGAGTGGTATGAGAATCAGTACTATGAGGACTGGACAGATTGGACGGACTGGACTGACTGGAGTGACGACTGGACTGGATACTGGCATGAACAGAATTGGCCAGACACTCAGACTGTCGGACACCCAACTGGATCCAACGACGCGAACTTAGTTTCACAGCCGGCCACTCAGAACTTAGCCTCGGGTGCTCAACCGTCTGCGCCCACTGCTACTGTTTCTGCAGTTAGTTTCGACCCTGAGAGCCTGCAAAGCACTGGCTCGACTTTGACCAACAGGAGTACTGTTCGAAGAACTTCGAAGTTAGGTACTGCCGGAGCACTTTTGGGTACTGTTGCTGTTTTGAGCATGTTTGGTAGATCTGAAGGACTGTCACTGGACTCTCAATCTTCAGATGCCTCAGATGCCTTGGATCTGTTTCATGAGAATTGTTTAGCCTCACTCTCACTTCAAGAGCATTGGGTCTTGTTCGACTCTGGAGCGGCTGCTCATTGTTGTCCTGCGAACTATGCCTCTGACTACCCTCCTTCCACTAGGTGAGAATCCTCTCAAGTTGAGAAGTGTGACTGGAAAACCACTGACAATATACGGACGCAGACTAGTTCGGTACAACTGTGGCGGTGTATACTTGAATGCCAACTATTATGTATGCGATGTTCTTTTTTGTTTGGTTTCTGTTGCTAGAATGGTTTTGCAAGGTTTTTGGACTGTTCTTGGAAAGGGCTGTTTAATGTTACTGACTCCTGAAGGCGAGAAAGTTTCAATCACTCGACACGGCACTTTGCTGTACCTGACACCATCACTTGAACCATTCTCCAATGTTCCGAACTCACTGCGCACTTCGAAGAACACATGAGAGAACTTTCCACTGAATTGAATCATATCACTACCGAAGAGAGTACGGTTGTGACTCAAGATGATCCACTTGAGAAATTGGAATCCCTCATTGGAGCTATTAAGCCAAAGTACTATCATGTCGATGAATGGCAACTCGATGAAGCAAACTACAAATTGGTGAGAATTCACAAACGACCAAGAAGAAGTCTGTTTACTCCTGGTCCTGGATGTCCTGTTGAACTGAACCAACTCTCAGGGGTTCGAACCACTTACCTGGACTATGGACAAGGTAAGACAGACAAGATCGTGGACTTTGACTTCAAGAACTTGTCAGAACCAAATACTAGACAAGATGAGTTTTGGAAAGGTAGAACTGGTTTTCTCCTCAACTCACCTCCTCCTAGCCGTAGGTATTTGACTAAAGGACCACCTCCAGGTGTTCCAACTCCAGCCTCTGAGGATGTAAACACTGAACAGGTTCAAGATACTGAAGTCACTGAGGACACTTCACTGAAGTCACGAAAGCGACACACTGAGGAACTACGCTGTTCACTGGATGAAGATGT